TCCAGGCTCTCTATCTGCAGTTTAAACAGTAAATATCTCAAGATGCCATGTATTAATTGGAGCCTGTGGTTTTGGTACATATACCACTCATTCATTCATCTGGACACTCAGCCTGTAATGAGGATGCCCCAGACCCACTCCAAGGATTCCAAAAACAGATACAGAAATTCTGACAAAATACAGACCTGACACTCAGATTACAGCTCTTTCAGATCAGATTGAATCTGCAATAAGGAAGCAATTAGTGACAAAAGCAGGCTTGAATATATAGACTCATTTTCTCTTGTTCCCTTCTAGACTAATGTGAAAAGTAACACTCCTAATGCTATTATTCCTATTATGTTATTTACTCTAGAATGCTTCACTTTTTGTGCAAAGATTTAGATTGAGTTGAAAAAACATATGCTTGGTTATGGGATCCTGTTTTTTTTTAAATCAGCTTTCATTTATTTGGTCTATTCTGGGCACACCATCAATTCATTTTGGTGACTCTATTTTTTGTCTTCAAACTATAACTTCCCCAAGTGCTGTTTTCCCCATCTATCATGTTCTCTCTTTTTATGATTAGAAGTTTTTGACAGTAGACTGATGTTATGCACATTCACAAAGGCAGCTGAAGAATTGCATACTTTTTTAGGTTTTTTTGAAAGCTACACTAATATAGTTTATTCTCCAAGACAGCACTATCAAACAGTACTTTGGTTTTGCAAAATTGAGTCACTTTATGTCAGATTTGAAAATAAAAACCTATTTGGCTATTTATGCTTTTATCAAAATGTTCTCTTCCTTCTCCCAGTTCTCAGGGAAGCTGAGCATCAAGCTCACACTTGAGTACCACATGATACAGCTCTGACCCAACTGGGTATTGCCTGTCCACTCAGACAACTGAACATTTACCTGCAGCATCCCAGAGCCCTTCCTGCCAGTGTACATGTTCATATATCAGACTATGATGCACAAAGTGCACAAATGACGCCACACTGGGAGAGGAGGCAGATCTGCTGGAGGAAAGAGCCTCCTCACAGACACACCCTGACAGTGTGAAAAACCAGCAAGCCAACAAGGTCTGCATGAAGTTTAACAAAGATAAATGCTAAATGCTGCACCAGGGATGCAGCAATCCCACACAGCAATTGAAGGTACAGCTTGGGTGGTCCTGATTGATGTGTTTCAGCAGGGTACCCTAGCAGCAGTGAAAGCAGACCTTGCCTCAGCTTGCATTAACAAGAGGACAATCAGCTAATTGAAAGTTGTGATTATTCCAGTCCATTTGGCACTTGTTAGGGCACACCTGCAACACTAGGTCAAGGTTTGGACTCCTCACTTCAAGAAAGCCACTAAAAACTTGGAGAGAGAAGGGCCACCAATATGATGAGAGGGTAGTAGGACTTAACAGATGAAACAGAATTGAAGGAATCACATATGTTCAACCCAGAAAAATCTTGAGAGAGTCTAATCACATTTTTCCAATACCTGAAATTTAATTTACAGAGTAAAGACAGAAATTCCTTCTACAAGGGTGGACAGGGACAAAAAACAAGCAATGGATGAAAATTATTTTGGAAGAAAAGCCATATGATGAGAAAAAAATTGTGCAACATGAAGAAAAACAAAAAAAACAACACATTAGAACAGGTTGTCCTATAGGATCTCCTTGCTGGAAATGACAAGATTTGACAGGAACCTGCATAATTCAATTAAAGGCCCAGCTTTCAACAAAAGTTTGGACTGTACAATCTCCAGAGGTCCCTGTCAGCCTCAGCTTTTACTTGGCTGTGCTGTGCTGTGCAGGTCTGTTGACTGGTCCATGTTCACATGTGACAGGCAGAAACTTGAGAGGTTAAATCTCTGCAAAGAGACAAGAGTCAAAAGCAAGAAGATGCTGCTCCCATCTCTAACCAGGAAGGTGAAACTCCTTGGCATGAAGAAATACTTATTGCTGTTATCTACAGAATTCCATACCAGTAACTTTCGATACAGGGTCAAAAATAGACCAGTAATTATGTAAAAGTTGTTCCATATCTCAGAATAAAATATTTTATTAATTTAAGTATTAAAAAATTCAGGACTTAAATTTTAAAAAATTAAGTATAAAAAATAACACATTATTGTTTTCCATCTTTTACCGCCTGTGAAAATTTGTGTCATGTTTATTTCTACTTTCCTGACTCCTGTCTTCAAATTTCAGGGGGTTGGTATTGCTCTGAACTCAGTGTATGGCAAGGTGTTTTGGGTGACAGAATGCCCACCTTGTCTACCAGGCTGAGCATGGCTCAAGTAACACCACATCCCCTTCTCCTTGTCTGCACACTGCCAGAGACAGAAATCCTAAGAGAGGAAGAGAGCCTGGGAAGGGAGAAAGGGAAATCAAGCAGGTTAAAGAGATTGATAGTTCCATGGTAGTAAATCACTAGATAACACTGTTCCCCTGTCTGCTAGCTGTAGAAGAGTGTCCAAAAAAATGCAGAAGTCTGGTGAAATTTATTGTTATCACACTTATTGCTCAGCATTATACTAATAAAATTGTATTTCATATGGTTGGGATTATAAAAGAAGAGAAAAAGAAAGACCAGAAGGCACTCAAATTATAGCTGTGGGCATATAAGTCACATTTCACACAACTACCAAAGGATGGAGGGATGGGAAAGTGGAGGAGTGAAATAAAAATTGATTCACATTAGTAACTCTTCTCAAAAATGTGAAAGGTTTTCGACCTTCAACCAAAAGAAAAAAGGAATTATTGTGACAGCTACTCATGTGCATTTCCACCAGCACCGTGCAGATGACAACCTGTGCTAACTGGTTCCTACACACTGCCCAAATTTTTACAGCTCCTGTTTGAATGCATCACTGCTTCCCCTTTCTGTATGCCGAGAGTAGGTATCCCATGTTGGATTGTCAGCTTTCCCACTGGGGGCTGGATGCACACATAACAAACATAAATACTCAGGCATTGCAGTCCCCAAGTCCCCTCAGCATCTAGGAGCTCTTCAGAAGCTGCCTTGCTTTTTCACCCACAGCATATTCAGTTATTTGCTTAAAAAAAATCAATTCAAAAGAAAATAAATATTTCATTTATTCTCTCTTTTCCAACCATAAATTATTTCAACTACGGAGAGAAAAAAAACCAAACATCTAACTGCCATCATCATTTTAAATTCTAAATTTATCTTTAAAAATTGCTTTTGGAGATCAGAAGGGCTAAACTCTGACATACAAATATTACCCATTAAGAAAAAAGCCTTTACATTCCACTCCTAAGTCATTCCTGATGGCAATTAAAGCTCATTTTATCATTGAAAATGCTCTTCAGTGCAGTCTTTCAACAATGCAGATATGCGAGTTAGAAAGGAAACATCAGCCTTGCTTCAAAACCATTTTATCCAGAGTGTTTCCAGAGCACTGAGAAACCCTGTAATTCCTGCTTTAGTATGTAACAGGGCTTTCAAGAGAGGCAGAAATCCAAATCTTTACTTAGTGCCTCAGATTTACACAAATTTAACTAATGCAATTTAAATGTCTCCAACGTTAAAACATTGTCAGTACTCCCTCTAGTGGGTGTCCTAAATGAAGCAAACATTCCCTGCTGACTTCCGAGGAGAACATTTTGCTATCTGTAAAGTTTCTCTGAAATTAAACAGCAGAATTGCAGTTGGTAGAACACAGGGCTGTTGTCGAGTACCTCTGGACTTTTTGTTTCCATAGAAGGTGCAGGAGGCTGGCAGCAACCAGCACCACACTTTTCATGGAACTGGTAGGAGCAAACCTGATAGAGAAGAAACCTGGTTCTAAAGAAGTAGAACGTGAAGACACCGGTTTCCTTAGGATGTGCATCCTGCATCCCTGCACAGCCCTTTGCAAATCCATCAGTACCCAACATCCTCACACACACACAAACTCTTGTTCCTGCCTTGGTCCCTCCCAGACAGAGACACCTGGGCCACAGGGAGCACATGCTTTGCCTTGCCTTTTTTGGTTTATTTTCTATTCCACTTGCTGAACAGAGAAAACAGAGAGAAGGATGGAAAATGTTAGAAGACTTCCATTGCCAAAATTGGAAGGGGGAAGATTTTAGGGGGAAAAAGGGTTCCTTTCTCTCAGCCTCCCACCAGAGGAATAGCAGGCACTATCATTTCACCAAGTTTACTGTCCCAGCATGAAATTATGACCAGTTTGAATAACCAAAGTAAATAACAAAAATCTTGTTGAAATCCTTGCTTTTTCATTAAGAGAAAATTATGAGAAAAGTGATGCAAAATTAGAAAGAGTAATTGGAAGCACTGCATTGATTTTTGTGATCATTTTTTATACTTTCTGAGTCAAAATTTTGCTTCTTTTCCATCCTCTAATAGGAGAAGAATTGGAAACATGAACAGAGAGCAGAGAGAAACCTTCTGCATGTAAATCACTACCAGATTAAGCAATGGCAGCTAGTTATTTATGAATACATTGCATTGTTCCTGTGTTTTAAACCACAGGTTCTGTTTAAAACAACTTTCCAGCTGATTGAATGGTTTAAAATGTCATCTTAAAAGATGTTCACTTTTGAAGGGTTTAATACATGCTTTTAGAATAGGAAAAAATTATGTGCTACTTTATAAAAATAGCTGTATCAAGAGCATATTCATGTTCTACATTTCAGAGCTAGCACACCATTATCTCATCATAGAGAAGCTACTTAAGACTAAAGCAGCTTGTTCAAGAAGTTCAGATGTTTGTGTGATCTCCTTCAAATTTTTTTGGCATAAAAATATCTCTAAATATACTTA